TTCCGAAGTTCGGAAGGCAGAGCTGGTTTAGTGAAAATCCCAAAATTCCCGCCACTATGGAATTTTGTGAAATTGCATGCAATTTATACAGGATTCCAAATTCCAAAAATGGKGGGAAAATATGTAAGTTGAGCTGGCCGGCTGTGCCATCTGTACCACTGAAAGTGATTCCCGAAAACATATCACAGAATATGTTTTCGGGAATGAACCAATATCAATAGAAGTTACGTATGTACGGTACGATACGAGTAGAATTTTAGATCCATGATTGATTACAGTATTTGAAATCCACGTTGAGATGAAATCCCCAGATGGTGTAACAAAATAAATTGTGTTCTTGCCCCACATTGTTTATCTACGGTACATATGCGACGTACACGTATTGTGCGATACCGTACCGTAAAGTACTACTGTAACCTACGCAATGAATCTGTCTCGAAGCATCTGTTGTGAAGAGGCAGCTTCTGATGTTTTCTTGTTTTAGAAATATTCTCCACACMCCAGAGTTTTTCATTTCTAAAGTACACGACCACGTGACCCGCAATTTTGGAATATTTTCTGAGTCCTGGAAGGAATTAAAAAGGTATCCAACATCGGTTGGCTTGTTTAGAAACAGAGAGGCTTTAGTAAGTTTTCCGTTTGGACATCCATCAGCTTCTAAAAAGCATATGGTCGTTATTTCTTTTTCAGACAGAACATCTCCCCATACCCCGAAGTTTTCTGTTTCTATCCTCTACTACCAGTACAGGGTACTGGTATACAATGAGCGTCTCGAACATCGCTTTCGGAATAAGCTCTGTCAAAGATTCTTGAGTTGAAGTGAAATAGGACCCAAAGATCTGTCTTCTACTCGTGAATGTCATCATTAAACATGGATACGTGCCATCTCGTACAAGTCCCGTGGATGTGAAAGATTGATACATTACATCAATAGTAAATCGTACCGTAAAATACCAGATGGTAGGCACCATACGGTACGGCTCTTGATTCTTGATTATGATAGAATACAAACTGCGAATTTCTCGGAAGGACCACCCTACGAGTGCCAGTCCGGTACCGCACCGGTAGCATCTAGTTGTTTTCATCGGAATTACACAAAAAGCTACAAATCCAGTTGAAATAAACAGTCCGTCTGGGAAAAACTGTTCCTAACTTCATCCAACACCATCCATCATGACGTTCATGAGCAAACTGAGTTTGATACGTGCGGCATTAGCTGTGTCTTTACTGATGGACACTTGCCTACGTGCCAAAGCCTTCTCGACTCAATCTAAGCATACCTCCTTGCCAACCTCGCAAAGATTTCCCCTTGGACAACTTCAACCTCAAGAATTCAACACAAACAGAAACCATGCTGTTCGGCTCCAAATGAGTCCTTCTCCTAAATCGGAATCGGCAGCAGATAGCCAGAATGTCTTCGGGATCGTATCCGATGCTGTCACTGGAATCATCTTCAACTTTCTGCATGCTTTTGACGAATGCGAAATTAAAGATTCCTCGAAGAACCTTCGTGTATTATGGGTCCGTGCCTTGCTCAACTACCGCGGCAAGATCCAAGACACAGTGGCACAGGAGCTACTCCCCAAGACAACCCGCGGCCTAGTAACGTCGGAATGGGGTGCATCCCTCCTTGATCCCATTCTTAAATTTGCCGAATGGATCCAGGCCCGTACTGAGTTCATTGACGAGGCACTAGAAAACTTTCTTTCCTCTCCGGCCTGCACTGATTCAGACGGAACGAAGCTCGAGTGTAATGTCGTACTCTTTGGTGCCGGATATGACACTAGAGCATTGAGGTATCGCCACCGTCACTCCGAAATGATAAATTTCATCGAGGTGGATTTGCCGGAAGTTGTGGAGGGTAAAACGAAACTATACGAACAATTCCGTCGTACCAACGATCCCGATTGGGACAATTCCGCAAAACATAACCTCGTCCCATTCAACTTGAACGATTGCGGTGGCCAGAATCCAACAAGTCTGATTCAGGTTCTCAAAGAAAAGGGTAATTTGAAGGAAAATGTCCCCACCTTGATGGTTTGGGAAGCAGGTAAGTAGAAAGAAAAAGTTGAAAATGCATTTGAAATTTCTCGAGTCGCTTGTTCCAACAATTGATTTGCATTTCCATCATAATACCATCGTCCATGAAAAGTCTTATTTTACGTTGACGAAGATGCAGTCCGCAACATCATGGATGAATTGTTCTCCTTTGCTCGTATGGGTGGTAATGGTAGTGAGAATCCGAGGGCCGAGACCATGCTCTGCTTTACCGATTCCCTTAAACCTTTTGTGGATGTTCCATTCAGCAACGAGGCCATGCAATTCTTCGAACAGAATGGAATGAAGTTACTCCAGCACCGCTCCCGCTGGGGTGGTGCCGTGCACTTTGCTCTTGCCGCCTCAGCCGACCAAGCCGAGCCCAAAAAAACTGTTTCAAAATCTGATAACGAGGTTAAAGTTGATCGCAAGATTGAGATGGAAACGGTTTCAAAATCTGATAGCGAGGCTGAAGTTGATCGCAAGATCAAGATGGAAACGGAAGAATTGGATCGAAAGAGCGGCATCTTCCACGAGCACATCAAAGACAAGGTGGGAGGTCTAACTAATTCTTATATTCCCACTGCATCCCTGAACGCTGCTATCCTGAAGAAGCCATCCTTTGAAAACGCATGGTGCGTCCAACCGGTTTTAAAATATGACACGATGCCATTATGTATTCTTTTTTTCTTACTCTCTCTTCTCTTGTTGTCAATTATATATTTTCTCATCAATACAGGTATGCAGTTGCATTTCCGTGGCAGATCGATGGGTACGAAACCCCAATCGATGCGGTGTTAGGCAAAAAGGACAGCAAAAAAGGCGAACAGAAACCCTTTGCGACACGACTTTGGGGCGAGCCCCTCGTGATTTATCGCGATTCTAAGCAGGAACTGGTCGCGTTAGCCGATGTCTGTCCTCATCGATCCGCACCCCTCTCAATGGGTTATGTTGAGAACGACGAGCTCGTCTGTCAATACCACGGCTGGCGCTTTGGTGATGCCGGAGAGTGTGTTGGTAAGTACGAGTCGTTGATAGAGATATGCAATGATGCCGTGTCGTCACGTGCCTAAAGCTGTGTAGTTTCCTCACCAGTAGTTTCTGATCCACATATTTTTCATCTGTATCACTCCAGACATCCCTACGCTCCATATTGTTGACGATAAGGGCGATGAGACCGTCCAAGGGGGAAAGAAGATCTTAGATCGAGTCACGAAATCGAACTGCGGTAACCATCGAGCTGTTGTCGAGCATCAGGGATTGGTATACGTCTGGCGAGGCAACGTTTTGGAGGCTGATTTGTCGTTATTACCATCGAGGCGCAAGGGGGACATGGAGACCGTACCTGTGGATACTGTATTAGATTATTCTGTTGATTATTCTTACATTGTGGAGAACAACCTCGATTCACCCCATTTGTTCTTCTTGCATGATGGGTCTGTGCCACCTATCGAAAGCATCGGGATGCTCAATTCCAATTTGCCGAAATTGAGATTGAAATTCTTCACGGATGACTGTGGTATGGGTCACATTGGAAAATTTGGCGAGAACGGCCGTCCTAAGAAATTATTAAGATTCGACCCTCCCAACGTGGTCCGGCACGGCGGTGTTTCCGGCTTCGAGGAGGAATTTCATATTGTGCCAATTGCCCCCCAGAGGACAAGGGTGCTACTAAGGCAGCATCTGCCGAGGGGACCGATTTTGTCGACGATTACTTCCTTTCCAGGAACAAGGCTATTCCTGACAGCCTTGGTGAACAACTGGAATTATCATATTGCGCTAGAGGATGCGAGCATCATGCAGGGCCAGGCATCCCGAATCGAAGACTGGGGCTCGCCACGCCTGAAGGTTGGCGGTTTGGGCGACGATTTGATCATGCAATACTGGAAATGGCGAAACTCAGCCCACGACGACTTGCGTTCCAAAAAAGGAGAGGATTCTCCCTACTTTTCAGAATTTGCGCCTACCGGACGGTCGGGAATTTCGAGCGGCACGTCCTTCGGAGATTCGAAGGAGGTTGTCAATCGCGTCCGATCCGAGGCGAATTTGGCCAGTATCCCACTGGTCAACGACAACCAACAGAGGGATCCAAACACTGGAAACGACGTCGGCACATGGGGAATCTTGTCGGATTATGTCCAGAACACCCCCGTGGCATCGTTTCCACCCGTCAACTACAATCAGTACGCCAAGATGCTTGTTTTTGACGATTTTGTTAAAGATCTTATCGAGCCATCGGACGGTGAGGTCTGTGACGACATGCCAAAGAATCGAGTGCCAGGTGCTCCTGAAACTCGAACCGGTGACAAGAGTAACGTCCCGGTTCCTCAGATGGCGATATCTATGGCATTGATTGCTGGTGCCTTATCGATGAACCCGGTGGCTTCGGAGGCCACCACATCGATGATGAATCTGGATCAGTTCCTCAACAACTGCCTCAACCTCTTGGGATACTTGGATTGAAATACTTCGAACTAACGGGGGCAAACGCATCTGGCTCTGAATGCGATGCTAACCCATAAATAGTGATCCATGCTCATGAATAGTTCGTTACCTTACAACGCAACAAGGTAATTTCTCCCGTCTGTTATCATCGGCAGCACAAAAAAAAGATCGATCGCTTTCATTCCTGAATTTAGAATGCAATAGATTATAATTATAAGTTACTCTATATCTTAATTACAACATTCATTCATTTTCAAGATAGATCAGCAGAGGGTCGGAGATAGAGGTTACTACCAATTGTTTGATAATCGTTGCCATATGGTTAGCGCCTGCGCCTACGTTTGTGCTCGAGTGAGTGTTCGCTATTCCATATTGTCGAAAGGCACTACCGCATCGCTCCGCCGCAGATCGTCTTTGCTCTGCAGTAGCCCTGTGTTTCTCCCGAACTGTTTTTCACCTCAAACCGGTGCCCGTTCCAGGTCGCAATTCCCTCACCGTCGGTGACCATGCCCTCGAGGCAATTGACAAAAACCTTTTTCTTTTCAACCTGCGAGGCCGCAAGCGGGATGGGCTGCGGCAGACCTTCGAAGGATACCGTGTCGCCCGGGGAAGCGCCCTCGGGCGGTTCGACAAACTCGACGGTTTCGATCCCGTCGTCTGTCTTCGAAGCCGCACAGAGAACCATCCCGTGGGACTTGAATTTCACGAGGTTCTTGGCCTTGAGGTTGGCCACGACCAATAGCCGCTGTCCCATCATTTCCTCCAGGGAAAAATGGGGTCGCAACCCGCTAGCGATCTGGCGGGGACCGGTTTCTTCCCCAACGTCGATCTCTTCGCAGTACAAACGGTCGGCGTTCGGGTGGTTCCACACCTTGGTGATCACGCCTACCTTGAACTGGAGTTTGCAGATTTCAGGTTGGGCCGCAAGTTCCTCTGGACTCGGTCCATTGTTCTTGTTCTTGTTCTTGTCCTTATTGTTGTTGTTGTTGTTGTTCTTGTTGTTGTTTTTCTTGGCTTTGGGCTGCTTGCCCTTGCCGCTGCCAGTGCCTTGGCCGGGTTTCAAACCCAATCGACACTCGAGATCGGTAATAGCCATATCGAGCATCTTCATTGTTGTGCTTCCACCGCTCATGGTAAATGTAAAATGCAATGATTGTTGTTTCGTTTGTAGCAGGACAGCGTTTGTATTGATACTGCTGGCGCTGATAAGCAGAGGGAGTACAGTACCCAGGATGAAAAAAATAACAATGATAACGGTGCGATTTTTCTTGTCATGACGGAGATAGATTACATTATGTACCGGTAACAAACGTGTGGTTTGGAGTACTAGTCGTTGTACGATTACGAACGTAGAACAAATCGCTTGTTGTCTCAGCCAAAACAGAGCACTGCCGGTAATGCGGACGGTAGACGGTACCAAGCGAAGCAGGTCCTAAATTTATGACCGCTGGTACCAAGTACCGTAGCCTACGTACCGGAAGGTCCAACCCTCCCAAAGTTTTTTACTTCTACTTTATATTAAACACCTTTTCTGCTCATTCATTTCTCTCCTTGCAATGTCCAACCAAGAAAATATAAAACACTCCATATCAGAATGTAAACTATGAACCAAACCATCATATTTACCAACATAAAATAATCATAATACTAAGATGGATGATGATGATTCTTTTTCTGTGTGATGGTTGACAACAATTGTTCGTACTATGGTCATAGTACTCCTAAGAATGATGCAGACCTATCTGACAACAGTGGTGGTGGCCTGCACCCTCATAGTACTAGGAGCCCCTCCCAAGATGACCATGGACCCATATCTGATCATCAAAAAGTATGCTGGGTGTCCATTGGTATCCTCCTCCCAATGTCCACCAGTATGAGGATTCTGCACTTGGAGGAGGTGTAACCACCCCAGGTCACACCCATGCTGTAAGCAATTCATTGGATGGCTGCACAAATAAGGTGGAGGAGTTGGAGTGTTTGTTCTTGTTCTTGTTTGATGGAAAAATTCTTCAGATGATAGTAGCAAATGAGTCCAACCGGTATGTGTTTGAAGATTGGGTGACAGAAGTTGAAGCTGCTGATGCTAGTAATGGAAGGGTAAAGAAGACAGAGATGCTCAAGCTCTGTGATGTCACCAATCCCAACAAACAAAAGTGTGTTCTACATTCAGTCAAAGACCAATGGAACTTCACTTCTGGTTACATCCTTGCCTGGCTTGGTATTTGTATCTGCTATGGAGGTTTGGGTGGTTCAAAACAATCTCCCCAAATTCTTCGGACTTGTCTTGAGGATGGTGGTGTGTATGGTCCCATGGTCAGGAATACAATGAGCAAGAATAGAAGCGGCTTTGTTAAATGATATATTCATTTTGGTGACAACAGAAGCAAAGCTACTAGTAATGATACTGGTTGCTTGATAGAGTGGTACACTCCTGCTACAAACTAGTAATTATCACTAGCCTAGTAGCATGTGACAAGTTTATGAAGGAATAGAAGATATACAAACCAAAACAAGTTTCGATCTCATCTTGGCATTGCATTGATGAATAGAGGTATTGAAATGGACTTGAAAGCTCCATATGATGAAGGTTCTAAGCCAGAGTGGATGCCTCAGACTTCAAAGAATGGAAAATATCACCCTTGCAATTGTGGGATTTGTTTCTTCTGTGTGAACAAGAAGACCAGCACCATTGCTCATGGAAAGGTAATGTCAAAGCCACACAAAGAAAGATGCAATGGCAAGTATGAAGGAGTAAAGAGGAACTACTATTGTGTTATCTGTGTAGAAAAAGCAAAGCATAGGTATCCTACTAACTCATCAGAGAAGAGATTGAGGAAGTTGCCAGCATGGATTAGTATAGTAAATGATGTCAATGAGGAATGGTTGCAGAAGTTGCAATGTTGCTGTATGTGAAGAGCATTGGAGTAACTTCAACCATCAAGTGTAATGATGTGTTATAAATGAATATATTTATATTTGTTAAAATATATTCTTATAATATTGTTTATAGTGATGAGAGGGCTGTGATAAGTGGAGTAGCAGTTTAGTAGTAGTAGTAGTAGTAGTAGTAGTAGTAGTAGTAGTAGTAGTAGTAGTAGTAGCAAAAAGAAAAAACCTAAATTTTCCAGGTGGCAACATTTGGCAACACGCGACGGGAAAAAGTTAATTACCCTCTTGCACTGAAATGGAAAATGCTCACTTGTTGCCAAAACACCATCTGTTTAATATCTCACCAACCAAACCATGAGCAACTGCAGCTAGGCTAGTGCTAAGGGTCTAGTATTACGTCAAGCAAGGAACAAACTGGTATTTGATAGTCTGCCAGAGGAGTCATAAAATATTTAATGGCTGTATTCTATTCGTGATTTTGTACTTCAGAGAATAGATGCCCTAAAGTATCAGTTCTGACTGCTCGCTTCTCCCTAGTGTCTTTGCGATTTGGAAACACAATTTTTTGCAATTCAATCATTGTATCACTACTGTTTTCCCCTAATGATTGAAAAAATAATATCAATTGTAATACTCGTGGTGTGACATATTGGTGAATCCGTTGGGATGCATTGCGCTGCACTGCGTGCTATGTGTCTTTGCTCGCACTATGCCGCAACTGCACTACAATTCTTCCGGCAGGTCTCCGCCGTTCCGGGAGCGGTGGCGTTTCTGCTGCTCCCCCGAGGGCACGAGCACCAGGCTGTGTTGCTGATAGCGCGGATCGGTTTCGATCTCGACGATGGTCGGCCAATAGGACTCGGCCATGCTCTCGCGGGCGGGACTGTAGTGGTTCGGCTTCGCTTCGTGTGTGTCTGGGTTCGTGTTTGTGTCCCGTGTTGCCTTTTTCCTCGATTGCATCCTAGCGACGCGGGCATCGATGCCGGTTCGCCGTGGGTCCCCCATGAGCGGAACGGAGAAGTGTTCGACGGCCTTGCTGTCGCTGTCGTCCAACAGAAGCAGTAGGTAGTTCCACCACCACTTGGCAAAGTACAGTAGGAGCGAAAACAAGTCGTCGTCGTCATCGGGTGCAGTTGTTGCTGTCGTTGCCGTTGCCGTTTTGATTGCTTGCGGCGATTCGAAGGCAGTCTTGCGAACGACCGGAATCTCCTCCCAATCGCCTGCATCGTTGCAGCTAAATAGTTCTTGCTCCCCATCGGCGTTGTGCGCTGCTCCAGTGTGCTTGGCCACGTTTTCCTTGTTCTGGTTCTCGCTCATGGCACAAGTGGTCCGATCGGGAATCCATTGGCCGTCTCCGCAATCGAGAATCTTGTCCACGAGGAGCAATTGTTGCTGCTCTCGTGTCTGCGATGGGTCATCGCCCCCTTGCCCGTGCTCCCACAGATTGAACAAGAGGACGGATCGCTCCCATTCAGCCCTGGGGTGATGGATGCTGTGCTGCTCCGATTGGTCGAAGGTCCAGTAGACATCATAGGGCCGCGGGACCGCGTGAAGCAGATCGCCCTTGAAGCGGAGGAGGCGGCCCTTCCAAGCCGGAACGGACACCATCGTAGAACTGCCTGCAACTCCCTGTTCCACTAGCTCTCCGCCGTTGGCGGCGCCAAAGACCACCGTCGGACCCTTGACCCTGCTTCCGACCCTCAGATAGAGAACGTGGCCAAAGAGCGGGTGGCGGAGGTCGTCGAAGTGTTGTCCGGAGGGAGCGGAAGAGAGATCACCGCGGGCGTTGGGTGACGCTTCTCCCTGCGGTTGTTTCTGTCGCTCCGACCATCTCTGGTGCGAGCGCTGGCGGTACAGGCCCTCGTCCATGTCCTGGTGCGCAAGGATGTGTTGCCATTCCTGCCGGGTCCAATACTCGACGTAGTACTTCTTATTTGTGCGTTTGCTGGTTTGGCCAGCAGCACCCGGCTCAAGCGGTGCCGCCTGGTGCTGCCGTTCCTCCATCTGCCACAGAAGTCCGTTCAAGAATTGCTGGAGGGGGGAATGTCGCTCGGGATGCTCCAGTGGAAACTCGATGATTGGGTCCAGATAACGGTGGTCATCATTGTTGCTCTTTTTGTTCGGATCGGCGGCAGTTGCATGCTGTGCCTGCCGCTGTTTGTCTTTCCGTTGTTCCGCATCCTCGCTCCAAGCTACGCATTCCAGGTGCAACCAGTCGGCCGTTTTGTTCGACAACACGTTGTCATAGATCGCAACGGAACGATCTTTTTGTACTGGTGATTGCTCCGATCTCGACTTCGATGCTTTTGCAATCACCGTCGAGGGATCGACGTCGTCGAAGTCAACTGCTGCCGCCAACACCGTAAGCAAGCAAATCAAAGCAAGAAGAAAGAAATGGCTTTTTTCGCTGCTGTTGTAGTTCATCGTTGACACAGCAACTTTGCGGTACCGGTATTGAGCATTGAACTTCGTATTGTTGGGTTAAATGTGATATTTCCTGGTTGTTGTGCTCTCGTTTGCTGGTGGCAATAGATGAGGGATGATTTTGCAGTGAACGTAAAAGGAAAAAATTGCCCGTCGTAATAATGAATACCGCACATGCTTCTGAAAGACCCCCTACGGTAAGATTGTGATACAAGTACGAATACGAGTACTCGTACTGTTGTGCTGAAAAGACAATCTTGGTGAATGATCAATTTTTCCCATGAAATATTTTTTTGTAGAAAAACCTAAATTTGACGTCGACTAGGCAAGAATTTTTCAGACCCCTTCTTGCACTTGTCCATAGTATTTGTTTGKGGAATCAATGTCAATGCACTGTAATATAATACATTTGACAGAACTGTCATTTGATGCCAATGAATGATAATGCATTTCTTGTTGTTGGCGTTGTTGCTAGTACATATAGCTAGTCTAGTACTACAATAAGCTAACTGTTCACTTGGATGAGGACATGATGTTTGCTATGATACTGCTGTTGATTGGTACTGTACTTCCTAGTTTTCACCTAGAAGATTCTGCCCAAAAATAATTCAGCAGAACATAAACATTGTTCTTTTTCTGCTAAAATAGACTCAGTGTAATATTGTTGTAGTACTTAGTCTCTTGAGGACATTTTCTAGGCTGTGCTATTCCTCTTGAATTAAGAGTTCTACACATTAAAGTTCCACATAGGAATTCTCACATAATCCAAAACCAACATGCTGAGGAATGAGGGGACTAGTTCTCGACATGGCAAGAAACTAATAAATCATAATGCCGTAGCATTCACATAGTTCTGGACAAATGATGTGCTGTGGTCTCCTCGAAATTGTATATTGTATTGTATTGTATTGTATTGCATTGCATTTGATTCGATCGATGCTAGCATCCCTCTCGCCTTTTTCGTCTTGTTGTCACACACCGGCCAGGCATCTATTTCTTTCTATCAATGTCTATTGAAAGGAATTGCTTAAATTGTGGCGCGTGCAAGTCCCAATATTTTTTGGTGTTAGCGTCGCTCTATCTATTCGTGTTGGACGACCTCGAATAAATCAGAGACAGCACACACCGAAGCCTGTGTTTGACTCAAGCCCTCCAGCACACACCATAGCCCTTCATTGACTCGAGACTTTGTTTCACGTGTTTTTGGGATACACCGCTAGAGCTATCGTTGCGATCTCCATATTTTCAGCACAAGAAGGAGGTTCGTCTTCCGCTCCAATGATGGCAGAGAACGGAGGCGACAATGCTTCACACTTTTTATCTGGGTTGCTCTCTGCTAGAAATTCCTTGCTCACGATCCATTTGTCTTTGACGCGGACGGCCACAAGTCGGGGAGGATTCGGTGGATCGCTTGGCAATTCTGCGAAGAGCAGGCGCGTTTCATCTCGCAGGCGCATCGGGACCTTTTGCCCCCTCAAAAACGCCCGAAGTTTCAGAGGTGAGTTCCTCCAGGGTGGGGAAAACCGTAGCGCACGAGCCTTTCTTTTGCCGCTGTTGCTTGAGTCGTTCGGCACAACAGTATCGGCACCATCCATAGTGGCTGATGCTATTCGCAGTGTGGTCGAGAAGAAGCTCAACCCCTCTAAGTCGCTCTCCGTTGTTTGAAGAAACTCGCGAGAAACACCGATCAAGAGCATCTGCTCGGAATCGTCCTCTTCCTCCCCCGGCAACCGTTTGTTTTTGTCGCTGTCCTGCTGTGCATCGTTCTCGTTGTTGCTGCTCGTGGCAAATGACCACTCCCAATCAATCCGATGGTGGTTCTCATCGAAGCTGGCATCGTATGGATCTTCTCCGGCATCCGCTTCTTGCACCATCAAGACATCGCCCATGCGCTGTACGATCCACCCCGCCCCGAGTTCCAGTGTCCATTGGTTGCGATCGGGATACATCTCGAGCTGCTTCAAGACCCGCTGGAGGCTTTCGTAGGACAGAACGTGGCGGTTGGGTTGGTTTGAAACTATCGTGGCACCTTCGTCTTTTGTAAGTTGCCGCTTCTTTAGCTGCTCTGCGATGCTCCGGGACATCCACTCATACAGAGCCTGGGAGCGGATCCATCTGCTGCTGCTTTTGCTTCCGTCGTTTCCATCGTCACTGTACTCTTTGATCGAAAACAGGGATGTCGACGATTCACCTCTGTCAACACCGGCTGTTCCGGTCTCGGGCTTCACCAGAGCGTTTTGGAGGTACTTTTCGACCCTGGGAGTCACTTCCCCGCTCAGGTTCCGGCTCTGTTCCAGCAGGGCCGGCAGCCGCTTGGTCCGAAACGAGTCTTCCGACAATTCCGCCAGGAGGGGAATGAGCTCGTTCCGGACCCGGTTGCGCAGGTATTTCGGATCTTTATTGGACTCGTCCTCTCTCCAGGGGAGATTTCGTTCGGTGAGATACCGAAGCAGATCGTCCTTGGTGTGTCCAGGGAGGGGAATTCCCTGTTGGTGATTGTAGGGGGTGGTATCGGTGACAAAGGGGCGCACGAGATAGATCGAACTCTCTATCTCAGAATGGCCATCCGTTCGATCACTGTTCTTTTGGGAACAGAACCCCACACTGCTAGAAGGCATGGGAGCAATGCTTGCAATGGTCGCCTTGTCATGGAGATTCAGTAGGTGGACCCCACGCAGGAGCTTGATAAGGACGGTCTCGTAAGAGTCATCGTCGTGGTGGGCTGTAAGCACCACTCCAAAGGGGGCGGCGAAGAAGTCTCGCTTGCCACTGCTGCTGCTCCTTGCTCTTTCGTGAAGAAGACGGAGCTGTTCCGAAGCGCACTCCTCCAGCTTGGTCCGCCTCCACACGCGGGCCCTGTCCTGGGAAAACGAAGAAAAGGAGTCGTCGCTTTCGATGGTAACATTCTTCCAGTCCTCCAACCGGAAGGCAAGGCGCTGCATTCCGTCGGACGTGGCTGTAGCAACCATACCCCGGACGAGTTCGCAGTCGGAGTCTGCGGACTCCGGTCGCTGGCGGTGGTGAAAATGCACCACCGTAATCGAGAGGTCCAGGTTGTAGCCGTGGTTTTGTCCGGTTGCCAGGGGATCGTATCGAGGTGCATTTTGCATACCCTGAAGGCTACGGTTCCATTCCAGGAGCGCGTGAAACAGGGCCACCGAATCGCACCCACCGCTAACCGAGATGACTACTGGGAGAGCAATGGTGATACTTTCCACACCATCCCTGATGTTGTTGTGATGCTGCCAGCCTCCTTGCCCTTGTGTTCGGCAAGCAAACACGCCGTGGTGCTCGAATAAAATCCGGACCCGATCACGAATCGATACCGCCAGGGTTGAGAGTTCTGTTGGTAGTTGTGAGCCCGGAGGCACGTGCGTGAAGGGCTGCTGCGGTGGCTGCTTGTCGGTGATCGGTTTCTGGATGGGAGAGAGTGATGGCTCCGCCCTCGGGTCCTCGGTTTCCTCGCCGTGGTTTTCTCGGTGGAGGTTGCGCTTCGAACCGCACCGGTCCTGGGATTGCCTGCTTGTTCTCGCACACCTAGGTGAACGAAGGGAAAGGAGGAAGGTGCGAGATCGTAGACCACTCGTGTTTTGTGGGTGGTAGTGGCAATGATCCGAGAACATCATTGTGTTGGTCGTTGCAATTGTACTCGTAGTTGGTGGTGGTGATAAAATCAATACGCCACCATTTCCAAGTGAGTTAGTACTAGCGATATTGCTGGTACCAGTGCCAACAAAGGATGTTCTAGTTCTAGCTACCATATGGCGCCAACTGAGCCTTTGTGCTCGAAATTCGAAGACGCGGCGATTTGGAACCATCGCCACCGTCTTCACTAGGGCCGTGGGCCCTGCTGCATTCGCTGCCGATGCACCTATTACCGGGATGGAAAGCATCAAGAGGTGCAACCGCAAATGCCGATTCAAATTTGGCAGGAGCAGGAGCAGCACCGCCGCCACCACCACCAACGACCGCCGCCGCCAAAGCAGCGGGTCAATTGAGCTGGACACCCAAAAACGTTTTCTCCTTTTTGTCGCAACGACGAAAGATCTCTGCTGGCCCTCCCGTAGTTTGCCTGGCAATGGCAATAATAAATCTGGCACCGTTTCGGTAGTGCTCTCCGGCATTGTCCTACCGCCACCGTCGATCCGTGCTGTGCCGTGTTGGGCTCTGTTCTGTAACGCTTTGCTTTTCTGCCGTACACAGATCAAACATCAAACACACTCACATCAGAACACGAAAGTGTGGTATGTACCGTACCGTACGGTACTATTAGGAAGTCTCCTGATGACATGCGCTGCAACTAGACGATTTCAATGTTTTCGGAAAATTGAATTTCCCGGTCCCCCCAGCGTTGTGAGCCTAAATCACGAATCAATGGTGAGTGAGCGCTAGCCCACACTCACAAGAAGCTCACTCATTGATGTAAACACGATGCGATGCTAGCTAGAGACAATATATTCGCAGGTCATGAGCAACAACAACCTTACCTCGGCCCATTACCATCATAAGCAATTACAAGGTTACACCTGAGTAGCTTGCTTTCCTGCTCCTTTCCACTCGGTCGCAGAACCAAGGCTTTACCGACTCGAGTATTTTCCCAGAAGAATTTTCGTTTCTTTCTACTTTACTACTTGGAGCAGARTGAGGCCTTTTAAACCTGAAGGCCAAATGGTATTATTGGGCAACACGTTATTCGTACCAGTAACTCGTACTTGCTGTCAAAAAGATCATCATCACTGTTCTTGTTTCTCTCCATTGGCGGAAAAGAAAAAGAAATTTGAATAAATAAAGAATTGAATTGTAAATTAGTACTTCGAACAAAAGAATGACGACCGACGTCGTTAATTACACGCTCAGTGCGCGCATGCCCGCAATAGTTGCTCTACTTCCTACGGCTCCAGAGAGATCTAGGCACGTTAAAACACTTGGTGATATGATGAAACCTTGAAATTCGATGTGCAAACCTGTAGGTCCTTAAACTGAAATTTGTTAAGTGCGAGTCGGAATGCTCGATTGAAGATTGGATCGCCAAATTTTTACGTACAAGAACAGATCGAGAATTCCGAAGAATGATTCTCACTACTACTTATCTAGTTTGATCCCTAGAAACGAAAACTTCTTTCGACGTATCTAATGTCGAGTGTGAACAATAATGTATTTTCCCGTAACAAAGCAAGACAAAAGAATTTATGCGAACTTCTGGCACATGGAAATACCTTTCGAACCATTGAAAAAATGTGATTCTCTACTGGTCATTGATTGATGAGACAGTTAATAGCCCTTTAACATTGGCAATGTTAAGTGTGATTCAGAACCTTGGTTTGAAAATGATAGAACTGGATTGAAAAAACTGGTCAGCGCATTAAGTCGAAAATTCCCCTGGGATCTGAATTGTTCTGACAAGGAAGACCAAATTCCATTCATTCTCAACGGTTCTCGAGACTACTTATCTAGTTTGATCTTGATGGACCAAATTTTCCGTTGTCTTGTGCCAAGAAAGAGTCTTCTTTAAGCTCCCGTCAGAATAAAACATCTCATGAAGCAGTGAATACAAACATCTGCAGTGTTCAAGTGAAATATGTTTAAGTGCGGGTCAGAACCTTCGTCTAGAATTCATTGGAACGATTCGAAAGACACCACACTGATAAATTAAATGGATGAAATTCCATCATTCGGAAGCAGAATTCTACGAACATTCTGATAGATTCTTCGAAGTGAAGTGATGGCGTGACAGTCGAATTTTAAAATCTGGTTGCCGAATGCTTCGAAGAACAGTCTGATAGATACTTCGGTTCCGTGACACAATGCTTCTGCGATCTTTGCGATCTTTGAATCTAGTCAGCCACCTGTTGGTGTGATACTAGTACGTGCCATATTGCGCTTTCCCTCCATTGATTTTGTCAGAATATGTTTGGCGTACTCAGACAGTGTAGTTTCACGGAGCTTTCTGCGCCAGCTTTGAATTCCCACCGAATTCTCATAATTCTGCTTTCGATCAAAAGGAAGCCAAACAATAAATGTCTAATACAACCACCGCCATTGCCCAAGTCCAAGATCGACGAAAGACTCCATTGAATATTTTTCATAACCTGAAACAGTGACACTCATAAGGTACGTAAAATAATTTCAATCTAGATCACCATCTGGGATGTGAAGAACTCTTGGGAGGCCGAGCTGGTCTCTTCTTCGCTGTAGGAGGCGGGTCCCGAAGTCTCCTGATCGACAACATCAGAAACCGATAATGGCTTCCTGGCCACGACATCGCGGGATATCTATTCGAAATCAGACGCACCCTTAGTTTTGTCTCTATTGCACTCGAGATGGCAAACGCTTGGATATTCACTGTTATAATTGATATGCAGAAGCTCTGAATCACGAGGTCTTCGCTGATGTCCTGAACGGCAACGATGGAACCGAGGAAAATCAAAAGATGGTGGATGATTCGAGATCCGTAGGCATCGTATTCGAAATGCGAGTGCCCAATCAATCTGGTTGACGGGAAGGGTGGCATTCTTCTAGGCGATGATTGGTGCTCGTGGCAGTTCCTAATATTGATTTTCGGCGTCGACTCCCCGGAAGATATCATCGGCGTGCCCCATGACTTCATTTTGCCTGGATCGGTACTCAGATTAGTCTTTGCGGGTTTCGATAAGGATCGCATCGGCCCTGCAGGCAGTGATGGCATCGTGGGAGCTAGCCAACACATTCAGTACCTTCTAGAATACCTCTCTCACACAATCAATCGTTGCTCATAACTTTTTCCGTTACACATCTACAGCCATGAAAGTCGCACTCATATGTCTATTCACTGTCTTCTCCAATAAAGGGGGGATTCTGAACCTCCCTCAAGCTGTCAGTGCAAACAGTCATAGCATCGGTTGTACAGATGATCACACGTTCTTTCTCGATGGCCAAAAGGACAAAGATTGCGCTTGGGCTGCGAAGGAACAGACGAGGAGAAGATGCCGCAAGACGGATTTCGTGACACAGAAGAAGGTTTCACACTATTGTCCGCTAGTATGCAAATCTGAATGCAAGGATCGCTCTGCAAAAGCATCTCAAGCAGAGAAATTTTGTTTCTCTGATGAACCCAATTACAAATTTAGAGGCAAGCCCAGAAAGAATTGTGAATGGGTGAAAAAAAAGCCAAACAAAAGATGCTGGAAGAAGGATAGAAAGTCGAAGAAGAGAGTCAAAGAACACTGCCCTTCTGCCTGCAATTTGCAATGTTTGTGCAGAGACTCAACCAATGTCACGTACAAGACCAGGAAGAAGAATAATACGTTGAGGAAATTGCGGTGTGAGAAGATCAAAAAAAAGCGTCACTGCAAGAGAAAGACAGACAACGGAGAGCGTGTGTTCCAACGCTGCCCAGTAAAATGCGGCGCCTGCTTCGAGTTTCCAAGCGAAAGTCCAACAGTAGCTCCATCGCATAGTGAAAGTCCAAGTTTGAGACCTACTTTCATGCTAACTCACAGTTCCTCTCCTAGCTCAGTCCCAACACCCTCTCCAAGCTCAGTCCCAACACCAGAGCCGACTTCGTTGCCTACCTCACGGCCAAGTACGGAGCCTAGTCCTCAACCAAGCATAAGTCAGAGGCCAACCTTTGAAGGTGAAACGTTCGCACCTACAAGTTCGCCATCCTCAAGCCCTACATCAATTCCATCCACCTTTCCCACTCTCCTTCCATCGACAGCACCTTCAGCAATGCCCACTGGGACACCAGCCTTTACTTCTGTTACAAATAGTGCATTTGAACCGGGTACAACAATCGAAGAAGTTGAGGCTGCCTATACAGAAGTTATGACTGATACGATTATTGACATCGCTACGGCATCTCTTGAAGCTGAAGCTACAGCAGCAGCTAGGGCAGCCGCAACAAAGACATCGTTGAAGGTAGCACCAAGCATCGCAGCTCTTCTGGAGTTCATTGAAGTTGTTACTGTTTGCTTTCCAGTATCCTGCTCTGTTATAGTACAGTTTGATGTTCCCGGAAAAGTATGCTTCGGATGTGTGATGACAGTCAAAGCTCCGCCATTCACCAGAATAAAACCAGATGAAGCAATAGGTCAAGCTGAAAATGGTGTTAACGAAGGTGGTTTTAAAGGTGCATTAGAAGCAAAAGGTTTGGTAGTTTTTGCAGTTGAACTTCTACCAAGTAATGAACCCAGTTCAGAACCAACCCCCGGTCCAAGTATCCCTCCATTACCTAGCTCAGGGCCAACTTCTCTGGGCTCAGGGCAGGGCTCAGGGCCAACTTCTCTGCCTTCTGTGTCGTTGACTGCACTACCCACTCTTTCCCCTTCGAAGGAGCCAAGCTCTTTGCAAAGCTTTTTGCCAACTTTAACACCAAGTAGGCCATCTTTGACGCCAAGCTCAGTCATAAGCTTGCAACCAAGCTC